CCTAATCTTCCTCCTACTATTCCTCTTCCTCTTCTTCCTCCTACTCTTCCTCTTCCCCCTACTCTTCCTCTTCCTCCTTCTCCTTCTCCTCCTCCTCCATAGTGTAAATTACCAGGAGTCGGCAGCTGTCAAAGTGACATATTGTCTCATTACTCATCCCCCTCCCGCCTGTCAAAACAATGGGGTCGGATGCTGCTTCCCCTCCATTCTATCTAATTATCTTTCTCCCTCATTCTATATCTTTTAATCTGTCTCTTTTTCTATCTGTCTGTCTATCTCTGTCTCACAGGTACACATAAATGCAAGTATACATAGTATAAATTACCTAGGATAACCCAAGAAATCCAGACAAAGTGCTGTACTCCACTTGAAGATGTGAGTAAAAGTGATGACGCAGTCTTGTGGCTCTCTGAGACAGAGAGCTATACGAATAGACAGATAGACAGGGAGCTTGACAGACAGACAATAGACAGAAATGTTAGTATACCAGCAAAAACAAAGGGAGAGCGATGTTCATCTAATCTTTTGGTATGGGCTACACCCTCATTTACCCTCGTCAAACGTCAGCACTTATCAGATGTTATCTCCCCTTATCTTGTTACTGTCATGGGTGAACATTTATTATTACATATTATTATTATTATTACGTATTATTATTATTATTATTATGTATTATTATGAATTATTATTATTATGTATTATTGTTATTATTACGTATTCTTCTTCTTCCTCCTCCTCCTCTTCGTCCTCCTCCTCTGCCTCCTCCTCCTCCTCTGCCTCCTCCTCCTCCTCCATTCTTGGAACAAGTTTGAAGAGCTTGTAGTTCATAATCACTATCACTATCATCACCAATGCTCACATCTGAGTCTGGGATTTGGGAAAATAGGAGTTTCCTCTTTGATTCTGGTACAACTGAACGTGAACAAGACGGCCCAGCACCAGATGTGGAAGGCTGTGGGTTGTCTGGGTTTTCCTCACTATTACCCATATTATGGTCCATTAGTTTCAGTCGAAACCTCACCAGAACTTTGAAACTCATCTTCACTGTCACTTCCATCTGTATTAGAACTGTCACTGGGGAACAAAAGTGTCCCAATTCGCCGAGGAGTGAGGAACTTCTTACCGCCAGGCATGGTGGACATTGTGTACTATGATGGCATTCCCACAATGCACCACTGGGTCCCAGATTTTTTTCCTACTGCGCACACCCACCACACAGACCCATTCTCTCACATCTAGGCCTATCAGCCTTTTCCTGCGAGATTTGACAGTGCTAGAATTTATGCGTACTAGTACGTCAAAAACCCCTACGCGTAAGACGTACTAGTACGACCAAAACCCTCAAAGGGTTAAATGAATAAATGAGAGAGAGAATGAGAATGTAGAACGTTCACGAGTTATGTAAACAACATAACTCTGGTAACAACAACAATTGTTGTTGTTACCAGCCTGGACACGAATGGTTCCTGTTCACTGTCAAGCCGACCAGAAAAACATCTCATATTTGTTAATTTATATGTTATGTAGCATGTTTATTGTATAATTTTGAAAAAAAATCATAGATGGATTAAGCAAAATGTCTATATTAATGTTTTATACACATTTAATGCACCTCAGTTATTATTATTGTTATTATCATTATTAATATGGCATCTTCAAGACCCAGTACACTCTTAATGAGTGGCTCTGAGACAGACAAGCAGACAAAGACAGACACACAGGTAGACAGAAAGACAGACACACAGGTAGACACAGAGACACAGGTAGACAAAGACAGACACAGTTAGACAAAGACAGACACAGGTAGACAGAGAGACACACAGGTAGACAGAAAGACAGACACTAGTAGACAGACAGATAAACAGACACACACAGATACAGACAGATATACAGGCAGACAGATACAGACAGGTTTATGTGCAACAGTGAAAACAAATAGAGAGTTCGAGAGTAAGAGCCTTTCTTGCCACAATCTCCAGTGCAAGATTCAGATTTCATCTTAGGGGCCATGGTGAAATTTACTGTCCAGTTAGTACAGTTAATACAGTATGATGCTGCTGATAGGACAGGGTTACTCAAACTGATGCTGCCTGCATGACACATTGCCGCCACGAGTATTGTCAAATATTGTACAGTGGTGTGCATCAGCTGGCCCAGCCCAGCTGCCATATGCAAGTCGAGTGGACGTATGTTGAGCAGGTCGTAAGTCGGATGGTAGGTGTTTGGGGAGCTACACATAAGAACATATATATACGTTTGGACCGTTTAGGGGTTAAGTTTGGCTGTGAAATAAGCCATCATGGGCCCAAAGTAACTTCCTAGTGCCAGACCTTTGGTAAAGAAAGTGAGAAACATGATAGAATTGAAGAAAGAAATTGTGGCAAAGTACGCAAGTGGAGGAGGAAGAGACAGGGGAGAATGTGCCTTCTTCAGTGATTCTACGATATGTACGATACTAAAGCAGCAGGAGTCAATGAAGGCTATAGTGCCAGCCAGCAATAAAGTGTAGTATTAAGAGTGTAGTAAGTTAAGCAATAGAAAAAAGACACGAAACTAACTCCTCCAATATTATTGGAGGTATATAGGGTCACTTGACAACACAGCCATCGCCACCACCACCACAATATGTACGGCTTTTGCTTCTAGTGGCCCTGATAACCCAACAACAAAACCACCACCACCATTCCTCACATATGTAATGACATATTTTATTCATTCTAGAGTGTATATCAGCTTGCTATGTTATTGATATTGTTTATTATGTCATACTAGATCAATTGTGACAGATAACTGGGTTTTCTTCTATTTTCTTTCTAGTTCTTGTTCTTGTCTATTTCCTCTTATATCCATGGGGAAGTGGAACAGAATTCTTCCTCCGTAAGCCATGCATGTCGTAAGAGGCGACTAAAATGCCGGGAGCAAGGAGCTAGTAACCCCTTCTCCTGTATAAATTACCAAATTTAAAAAGAGAAACTTTTGTTTTTTCTTTTTGGGCCATCCTGCCTTGGTGGGATACAGCCGGTTTGTTAAAAAAAAAAAAAAAAAATAAACAATAGAGTTGATATTAGCATCATATTGAAGGAATATCTTGTCCTGCCTCCAAACAAACTCTCCTCCTCCTGGAATGGATTAATTGTATTTACATTAATTCTTATGGGAAATACTACTTTGAATTTAGACTGTTTCAAATTCAGGCCGACCTTCTGGAACGGATTATTGAAGAAAAACGAGGTTCCACTGTACTTTTGTGTGTCTGGAACAGATTAATTGGATTTACATTATTTCTTATGGGAAACATTGCTTAGTTTTCGTCAAATTTGGTTTTGGTACAACTCTCTGGAACCAATTAAAAACGACAACCAAGGTTTCACTGTGCCTGGCATGATATTATACAACTTGTTGACAATGTCACCAACACCAGCTCCAGGGAAACATACTCTGTCTCACCTTATCCCTATTACAGAAAGCATGGTCCATGTATCTTACCAGTGAGTCACCAACAACAAGAATGAGCTTACCTCTATTACCAGGGGAGGTAGTACCTTTACCTTCACTGACCACTGAAGTACACTCACCCTGAAGAATAGAGAAGTGATTTCCTACCTTCAAACTTTCTCTCTTAACTTTCCTTATTTTGATGCTCCTCCCATTACTGGGTGTTGAACTGCTCCTCACTGCTGGTAGTTTCATTACTCTCACCCACTCCAGCCACCTCACACTCACTCCCAAATCCATTGAGGTGAACCTTCAACCTCCTACTCTTGGAGAAGTTGAACCTCCTCCTTCAACACTTTAACCTCAGATTTTAAAACACTGCAGTAGCAAGCCATGGTTTTGTAACTCTCCACACTAATCCCCTAAGCAGCTCAGGACCATATGACCACTTGTAACCACTGACCATTCAAGGAAAAAAGGTGAATGGAGCACTGAAGTATCAGTGGAGACAAAAAAAAGTTATCCATGGAGGCAAAGAAGGGAATGTACGAGAGTATAGTGGTACCAACACCCTAATATGGGTGTGAAATATGGGTTGCAAATGCTGAAGCAAGGAGAAGGCTGGAGGCAGTGGAGATGTCGTGTCTAAGGGCAATACGTGGTGTAAATATTATGCAGAAAATTTGGAGTATGGAAATTAGGAGGAAGTGTGGAGTTACTAAAAGTATTAGTCAGAGGGCTGAAGAGGGGTTGTTGAGGTGGTTTGGTCATTTAGAGAGATTGGAACCAACTAGAATGACTTGGAGAGTGTATAAATCTGTAGGGAAAGGAAGGCGGGGTAGGGGTCGTCCTCAAAAAGGTTGGATGGAGGGGGTAAAAGTGGTTTTGTGGTCAAGGGGCTTGGACTTCCAGCAAACATGTGCATGCGTGTTAGATAGGAGTGAATGAAGAAGAATGGTTTTTGGGACCTGATGAGCTGTTGGAGTGTGAGCAGGGTAATATTTTGTGAAGGGATACAGGGAAGGTTGCTTTGTTGCTTACTGGTTAGCCAGAATTGAGTCCTGGAAATGGGAAGTACAATGTGTGTCTGCAAAGAGCGATTATGTATGAGTGATGGTGAAAGTGTTGAATGATGAAAGTTTTTTCTTTCTTTTTGGGTTTTTCTTTCCTTTGGGTCACCCTGCCTCAGTGGGAGATGGCCCATGTGTTAAAGAAAAAAAATTATGAACACTAAGAACAATGATGGAACAAGTCAGTATCTAACAAATGGTTAAGAAATACTCAAATAGGTTCGCCAATGATTATTTTTAAAACACTGACAGTTTCTTGCCAAGAAAGAGTATGTCGAACAAGGAAACATTCGCCATCATTCATTATCTAGATGTCTTACTAGAAGTACACTGACATCACAGTCCCACTCACCCTCCAAACCACATCCTCACTTATCTTTGAGAATGCAGGCACTCTTATTACCTCAAGAACTCAAAGCTAGCTACAAAAATGATAGGGTTATAAAACAAAAAAACTGAGTACATTTTCTTAAAACTGGAAATATGAAGACCTACTTCTTTCTTTTTGAAAAAGTGTGTGAGGTGGGTGCAGGAGAGGACAGTGGTGATGGCAGTGTAGTGGGCAGATACAAGAGGTTGCAGTGAAGAACACCTCACAAAGAACCAACATAGATGTGAAACATGTGGCTCCAACTGATCTTCACTTTGTAATGGCAGTACTTCCCCCATCAATGACACTACATTCATGTAGACCTGAAACAATAACATTAAATTAAAATACATTCAGTTGGAGGTTTCATATATTGTACAGTGGACCCCCGTTTAACGATCACCTCCCAATGCGACCAATTATGTAAGTGCGTTTGTACGTGTATGTTAGGGGGTCTGAAATGGACTAATCTACTTCACAATATTCCTTATGGGAACAAATTCGGTCAGTACTGGCACCTGAACATACTTCTGTAATGAAAAAATATCGTTAACTGGGGGTCCACTGTATATGCAACATTACATTGGCAGGTCAATAAAACAGGATGTTATATAATTTTGGAAAAATACTGTTATAGAGAGAATAAAGAAAGCAAATGTAAAAAGTAGAGTATAATCTGTAAAGCTGAAAGTAATATCAAAGTGCTGTTCCTTTTATATATTTTTTTTTTTAACAAGTCAGCCGTTTCCCACCGAGGCAGGGTGACCCAAAGAGAAAGAAAAAATTTCATCGTCGCTCAACACTTTCACCATCATTCATACATAATCACTATCTTTGCAGAGGCACTCAGATATGACAGTTTAGATGTCACTCCAAACAGCCAATATCCCAAACCCCCTCCTTTAAAGTGAAGGCAATGTACATCCCACCTCGAGGACTCAAGCCCTGCTGACTGGTTTCCCTGAATCCCTTCACAAAATATAACCCTGCTCTCACTCCAACAGCTCAAGTCCCAAAAACCATTCATCTACATTCACTCCTAACACATTCATGCATGCTTGCTGGAACTCCAATCCCCTCACCCACAAAACTTCTTTACCCCCCTTCCTCCAACCTTTCCAAGGATGATCCCTACCTTGCCTTCTTTCTGCTACATATTTACATGCTCTCCAAGTCATTCTACTTTGTCCCACCCTCTCTAAATGACAAAACCACCTAAATAACCCCTCATCTGCCCTCTGACTAATACTTTCAGTAACTTCACACCTCCTCCTATTTTCTACACTACAAATTCTCTTCAAGCAAGCATGCGAGAGCATGTTAGATAGGAATGAATGGAGACGAATTGTTTTTGGGACCTGACAAGCTGTTGGAGTTTGAGCAGGGCAATATTTTGTGAAGGGATTCAGGGAAACCAGTTAGCCAGACTTGAGTCCTGGAGGTGGGAAGTACAATGCCTGCACTTTAAAGGAGGGGTTTGGGATATTGGCTGTTCGGAGGGACTTCTAAATTGTCACATCTGAGCGCCTCTGCAAAGACAGTGATTATGTATGAGTGGTGGTGAAAGTGTTCAATTACAAAAGCATTTTTCTTTCTTTTTGGGTTTTTCTTTCTTTTTGGGTCACCCTGCCTTGGTGGAAAATGGACTGTGTTAAAAAAAATTCTCTGCACATTATTTCCACCACACATTGCCCTTGGACATGACATCTCCACTTCCTCCAGCTGCCGCCTCCTTGCTGCAGCATTTACAACCCAAACTTCACACTCATATGAGAGTGTTGGTACCACTATACTCTCGTGCATTCCCTTCTTTGCCTCCATGGATAGCATTTTTTACCTCCACTCATATCTCAAAGCACCACTAACCTTTTTCCCTTCATCAATTCTATGGTTAACCTTGTCTTTCATAAACCCATCTGCTGATAAGTCAACTCCCAAATATCTACACATATTTACTTCTTCCATACTCCCTCCCTCCCATGTGATATCCAGTTTTTCTTTAACTACATATCTTGATACCCTCATCAACTTACTCTTATCTATGTTCACTTTCAACTTTCTACCTTTACACACCTTTCCAAACTCAAACACTAACCATTGCTACTTTTCTTTAGAATCTCCCAAAAGCCCAGTATCATCAGCAAAAAGTAACTGTCAACTCCCATTTTGTATTTGATTCCCCATAATTTAATCCCACCCCTCTCCCCAGCACCCTAGTGTTTACTTTTTTTACAACTCCATCTATAAATATGTTAAACAACCACAGTGACATTACACATCCCTGTCTAAGGCCTACTTTTACTGGGAAGAAATCTCCCTCTCTCATACACCTTAACCTGAGCCTCACTATCTCCTCATAAAAACTCTTTACAGCATTTAGTAATTTACTACATATTCCATACAATTGCAACATCTGCCACATTGCTCCCCTATCCACCCTATCATATGCCTTTTCTAAATTCATAAATGCAATGAAAACTTCTTGCCTTTATCTAAATACTGTTCACATATATGCTTCACCTGATCTACATATCCCTACCCATTCTAAAGCACAAATAAACGGCTCGGTTGCCCATGGTTAACCAGCAGCATTCTGAAATCCATTGATAAGAAACACCAATATGAAAAGCAATATAGACAGGGCCTAATACACAAAGATATTCTTAAACACTATTCATCAGTTCTCACCAAAGTAATAAAGAAAGCCAAACAACTGTACTACTCCAGCAGATTCACTGACACAAGAGGAGATATAAAAAAGACCTGGAAAACACTCTCCCAGATTCTGGGGACCCACAAACTGAAAAAAAAACAAGAATACTGTCCTAACTAAGCCTAATTAAACACCACTGCATCCCACTGATACAGCTAACAAGATAAATGACTTCTTCTCAACCACAGGATCTAATCTCGCCAGTAAAATCCCACGTACCAACGCCCATGCCGGGGACTATCTTGATGGGAATTTCCCAAATTCCTTCTATCTTGCTCCAACTGCTGCATGGAAATCACCGAGATTATAAAGTCACTTAAAAAGAACTCAGGGAATGTGTCTCATATTCCACCATTATTGTAGAAGCGAGCGGCCCATGTCCTATCGCATGCTCTTTCATTACTTTTTAACAAGTCGCTAGTAACTAGCACCTTCCCAAAACTACTCAAGACAGCAAGGGTTACACCAATACATAAAGGTGGTGACCCTACAGATTTAAACAACTATAGGCCAATATCAAACTTACTATTGATATCCAAAATCTTCGAGAAACTCGTGCACAGGAGACAATATTCATTTATAACGGCACAAAACATACTCAACCCCTGCCAATTTGGATTCAAGAAAAATAAAAGCACTAATGATGCAATTGTAAAAATGCTAGATCTGCTTTACACAGCAATGGAAAATAAGGAATATCCGCTAGGAATTTTTATTGCCCTAAGAAAAGGAAAAGCTTTTGACACAGTAGACCACGGAATCCTACTCCACAAACTTGACCATTATGGTATAAGAGGCCATGTGCTTGCATATTTCAAATCCTACCTTACTAATAGGTATCAGTATGTCACCATTAAAGACACAGCATCATCAACACGGCCACTTGATACTAGAGTTCCACAGGGAAGTGTCCTTGGTCCCCTGCTCTTCCTCATTTACATCAATGATCTTCCAAACGCATCCCAACACCTGAAACCCATTCTCTTTGCTGATGATACGACTTATGTCATCTCTCACCCTAATCTTGCCACCCTCAACACCACTGTTCATGAGGAGCTGCTCAAAATATCGACTTGGATGACAGCCGATAAACTTACACTTAACACTGACAAAACCTACTACAGTGGACCCCCGCATAGCGACCTTAATCCGTGCAAGAGGGCTGGCTGTTATGCGAAATGTTCGGTATGTGAATGAATTTTCCCCATAAGAAATAATGGAAATAAAATTAATCCGTGCAAGACACCCAAAAGTATGAAAAAAAATTTTTTTTACCACAAAAAAAAAATGTTAATTTTAGTACACACAAACTGAAAAAGGCATGCACAATTACATGACACTTACTTTTATTGAAGATCTGGTGATGATTGATGGGATGGGAGGAGGGGAGAGAGAGTGTTAGTGTTTAGAAGGGGAATCCCCTTCCATTAAGACTTGAGGTGGCAAGTCCTTTTCTGGGGTTACTTCCCTTCTTCTTTTAATGCCACTAGGACCAGCTTCAGAGTCACTGGACTTCTTTCGCACAACATATCTGTCCATAGTGGCCTGTACCTCTCATTCCTTTATGATTTGTCTAAAGTGGTTCACAACATTGTCATTGTAACAGTCACCAGCACGGCTTGCAATAGCTGTGTGAGGGTGATTTTCATCAAAAAAGGTTTGCACTTCAAGCCATTTTGCACACATTTCCTTAATCTTTGAAGTAGGCAATTCCTTCAATTTCTCTCTCCCCTCCTTTGAACCAGTTTCCCCAATTCTGGCCTCTTGCTCTTGAAGTTGATCTATCAGCTCATCAGTGGTTAGTTCTTCATTGTCCTCCTCCACCAACTCTTCCACATCCTCCCCACTAACCTCCAACCCCAAGGACTTCCCCAATGCCACAATTGATTCCTCAACTGGTATACTCCTCTCAGGGTTAGCCTCAAACCCTTCAAAATCCCTTTTGTCTACACATTCTGGCCACAGTTTCTTCCAAGCAGAGTTCAAGGTTCTCTTAGTCACTCCCTCCCAAGCCTTACCTATAAGGTTTACACAATTGAGGATATTAAAGTGATCCTTCCAAAACTCTTTTAGAGTCAATCGAGTGTCTGTGGTCACTTCAAAGCACTTTTGAAACATAGCTTTTGTGTACAGTTTCTTGAAGTTGGAAATGACCTGCTGGTCCATGGGCTGCAGGAGAGGAGTGGTATTAGGAGGCAAAAACTTCACCTTAATGAAGCTCATGTCCCCATAAAGTCGCTCTGCCATGTCTGTAGGATGACCAGGGGCATTGTCTAACACCAGGAGGCACTTAAGTTCTAATTTCTTTTCAGTTAGGTAATCTTTGACATTGGGGGCAAATGCATGGTGTAACCAGTTATAGAAAAAGTCCCTAGTGACCCATGCCTTACTGTTTGATCTCCACAGCACACACAAATTATCCTTGAGGACATTCTTTTGCCTGAACGCTCTGGGAGTTTCAGAGTGATACACTAATAAAGGCTTAACTTTGCAATCACCAGTAGCATTGGCACACATCAACAAAGTAAGCCTGTCTTTCATAGGCTTATGTCCTGGGAGTGCCTTTTCCTCCTGAGTAATGTAGGTCCTGCTTGGCATTTTCTTCCAAAACAGGCCTGTTTCATCACAATTAAACACTTGTTCAGGTTTCAGTCCTTCAGTTTCTATGTACTCCTTGAATTCCTGCACATATTTTTCAGCCGCTTTGTGGTCCGAACTGGCAGCCTCACCATGCCGTATCACACTATGTATGCCACTACGCTTCTTAAATCTCTCAAACCAACCTTTGCTGGCCTTAAATTCACTCACATCATCACTAGTTGCAGGCCTTTTTTTAATTAAATCCTCATGCAACTTCCTAGCCTTTTCACATATGATCGCTTGAGAGACGCTATCTCCTGCTAGCTGTTTTTCATTTATCCACACCAATAAGAGTCTCTCAACATCTTCCATCACTTGCGATCTTTGTTTCGAAAACACAGTTAAACCTTTGGCAAGAACAGCTTCCTTGATTGCCTTTCTGTTGCCCACAATAGTAGAGATGGTTGATTTGGGTTTCTTGTACAACCTGACCAGGTCGGTGATACGCACTCCACTTTCATACTTATCAATGATCTCTTTCTTCATTTCTATAGGAATTCTAACCCTTATTGCTGTAGGGTTGGAACTAGAAGCTTTCTTGGGGCCCATGGTCACTTATTTTCCAGAAACAGCACCGAAAACACTGTAATAATACGAAATATTCCGATTGTATGCTTGAATGTTACCGCGGAGGCTGGCTGGTAAACAATGCCACCGGCGGAACATATGAGGCTGGCTCAGGCCGCACATTGGACGCGTCTCGGACGAAGGGCGCTGAGCGGGTTTTTGGGCGGTATGCGGGACAAAATTTTAGCGATCAAAGCGTCCGGTATGCGGATTGTCCGTTATGCAAGGCGTCCGGTATGCGGGGGTCCACTGTATATTATGTTTGGTAGCAGAGCAGGTCTTGTGCAACTTAACATTAAGATCGACAACACTCTAATTGCCAGACATAATGAGGGCAAATTCCTAGGCCTATACCTCGACAAAAACCTGAATTTCAGCACCCATATCCAACACATAACAAAAAAAGTATCCAAAACGGTGAGGATCCTCTCCAAAATACAATACTACGTGCTGCAAAATGCCCTTCTCACACTATACCATTCACTCATTTATCCATACCTCACCTATGCTATTTGTGCTTGGGGATCAACTGCAGCAACACACCTAAAGCCAATAATAACCCAACAAAAAGCCGCAGTAAGAATAATCACTAAATCCCATCCCTGGCAACACACCCCCCCACTCTTCACAGATCTAAACTTACTCCCTGTTCAGAACATCCACACTTACTACTGTGCAATCTACATCTACAGGACCTTAAATTCCAATATTAACCTTGACCTAAAACACTTTCTTGATAGTTGTGACAGGACCCACAGGCATAACACCAGACACAAACATCTCTATGACATTCCCCGTGTCCGACTAAACCTTTACAAAAATTCAATGTATGTCAAAGGCCCTAAAATCTGGAACACCCTACCTGAAAACTCTAGAACTGCAGACACATTCATCACCTTCAAAACTGCCATTAGAAAACATCTTATCTCCCTGATACAACCCGTCAACTAACTACATGAAAACCACCTGGTGGTTCACACTTACACTCACTTACTCACCCATCTGACTATTAACACAGAATTAAAAATCAATCTTAAAATAATGAATCCTACTTAGTCATAAGTTTGCCTGTGATACTCCAATATAGAAACTATGTATTGTGCCAAAACAAAAGCATTCACATTGCTAAACTCACAGACTAGTATTTAGTCACTTAGCCATAATACCAACTTACTCTATAATTTGTAATAATTTAGAGTTAAGAATTAATCTAAGTCTGCTCGAAATGCCTAGCCATGCTAGGTGTCCTAGTGGCCCCCTCTGTAATTAGTATTTTATTACATGTAAACCACACAATAACCAAAATCTGTAAAGCCCGCATTGTAATCCTTATTGAGAATAAACTTGATTGATTGATTGATTGATCTGTAATCCTCTCGGAAGGCCCTTGACCACAAAACATTTATCCCCCTCCCTCAAACCTTACCTAGGATAACCCCTACCCCTCCTTCTCTCTACTTCATATTTTGTACATCATCTTAGTCATCCTATTTTGCTCCATCCATTCTAAATGGCCCAATCACCACAATAACTCCTCAACCTTACCAAACTCAAACTTACCATTGCTATCCAAAATCTTTGAGAAACTCGTGCACAGGAGACTATATTCATTTATAACGGCACAAAACATACTTGACCCCTGCCAATTTGGATTCAGGAAAAATAAAAGCACTAACGATGCAATCATAAAAATGCTAGATCTGCTTTACACAGTATTGGAAAATAAGGAATATCCACTAGGAATTTTAATTGACCTAAGAAAAGCTTTCGAGACAGTAGACCACGGCATCCTACTCCACAAACTTGACCATTATGGTATAAGAGGCCATGCGCTTGCATATTTCAAATCTTACCTTACTAATAGGTATCAGTATGTCACCATTAAAGACACAGCATCAACAACACAGCCACTTGATACTGGAGTTCCGCAGGGAAGTGTCCTTGGTCCCCTGCTCTTCCTCATATACATCAATGATCTTCCAAACGTATCTCAACACCTGAACCCCATTCTCTTTGCTGACGACACGACTTATGTCATCTCTCACCCTAATCTTGCCATCCTCAACACCATTGTTAATGAGGAGCTGATCAAAATATCGACTTGGATGACAGCCAATAAACTTACGCTTAACGCTGACAAAACCTACTATATTATGTTTGGTAGCAGAGCAGGTCTTGTGCAACTTAACATTAAGATCGACAACACTCTAATTGCCAGGCATAATGAGGGCAAATTCCTAGGTCTATACCTCAACAACAACCTGAACTTCAGCACCCATATCCAACACATAACCAAAAAAGCATCCAAAACGGTTGGGATCCTCTCCAAGATACGATACTACGTGCCACAAACTGCCCTTCTCACACTATACCATTCACTTATATATCCACACCTCACCTATGCTATCTGTGCTTGGGGTTCAACTGCAGCAACACACCTAAAGCCAAAAATAACCCAACAAAAAGCCGCAGTAAGAATAATCACTAAATCCCATCCCTGGCAATACACCCCCCACTCTTCATAGATCTAAACTTACTCCCTGTTCAGTACATCCACACTTACTACTGTGCAATCTACATCTACAGGACCTTAAATTCCAATATTAACCTTGACCTAAAATGCTTTCTTGATAGTTGTGACAGAACCCACAGGTACAACACCAGACACAAACATCTCTATGACATTCCCCGTGTCTGACTAAACCTTTACAAAAATTCAATGTATGTCAAAGGCCCTAAAATATGGAACACCCTACCTGAAAATTCTAAAACTGCAGACACATTCATCACCTTCAAAACTACCATCAGAAAACATCTTATCTCCCTGATACACCCTGTCAACTAATTATACGAATACCACCTGATGGTTCACACTTACTTTCACTCACCCATTTGACCATAAACAGAAATATCAATCTCAAGCTCAAAATAATGAATCTTAACTAGTCATAAGTTGGCCTGTGATACTCCAATACTGAAACTATGTATAGTGCCAAAACAAAAGCATTCACATTGCTAAACTCACAAACTAGTATTTAGTCACTTAGCCATAATACCAACTTACCTCATAATTTTGTAATATTTTAAACTTAAGATTTAATCTAAGTCTGCCCGAAATGCCTAGCTATGCTAGGTGTTCTAGTGGTACACTCTGTAATTATTATTTTACTACATGTAAACCACACAATAACCAAATTCTGTAAACTCAGCATTGTAATCCTTATAGAGAATAAACTTTGAATCTGAACCCTCTGAATAATACTTTTAGTAACCCTACAACTCCCTCTCTCTCCTAACTACAAATTCTCTGTTATATAGAAGGTAAGAAAAATAGTGCTAGCACTAAGATTGGGATGTCTAGGAAATGACCTTGGGAACCATCAACTTGTTAGGTAAGACACATATGCAACAGTTAGACAACTTTATTCCGAAACGTTTCGCCTACACAGTAGGCTTCTTCAGTCGAATACAGAAAGTAGGCAGGAACAGTAGAGATGTGAAGACGATGTAATCAGTCCATCACCCTTAAAGTCGTAGAATTTGAGGTTGTCAGTCCCTCGGCCTGGAGAAGTTCTCCAGGCCGAGGGACTGACAACCTCAAATTCTACGACTTTAAGGGTGATGGACTGATTACATCGTCTTCACATCTCTACTGTTCCTGCCTACTTTCTGTATTCGACTGAAGAAGCCTACTGTGTAGGCGAAACGTTTCGGAATAAAGTTGTCTAACTGTTGCATATGTGTCTTACCTAACAACCTGTCGGTATTGTATACCATTTTGATGTTCAACCATCAACTTGAAGGGAGACTAAGGGAATACTAAAAAAATTAAACTACAGTAAAATTTAACTCCTGCTATTGCTGAGTAATGAAATTATATGTTTGAAAACAAAATCACAGTAGTACTTGTGAGGGAATAATTTTCATGCAAGCAAATAAAATATAATGACTAGGTTTAAGCAATACACAAAATCTTTCCCCACAAAATGCACATAAACAGACTACCATCAACATGGTTTGAGACTGGCAGGCACAAGAATGACTAGAATTCTGATTCCTAGACACTCTTCACCACATACATACAGTCAATTCCTGAACACACCACAGTGCCAGTACAGAACACTACCTCAGTGGCAGACAGTGAGTACATGAACTGAGATAAAACTGGTTATACAGATACAGTACTGTTATTGAATAATAATCAATCTGAACTTTTTATAATAGTTTAGTAAAAAAGCATTTTCAACAAATGTAATCCAAAAATAACTTACCTGAAAATCCTTTGGAGTCTTGGCTATCAGCCCAGACACTGGATCTGAGGTGGCAACGTCTTGCTCCTCATTGGCCTCAATTTCCTTCTGCCAATACACCAACCTTTATATTGACTTCTAACAAAAATGAATAACAGAATTAAATGAAACTTTAAAAAACTGACACTCAAATTACTCTATGCATATTACCAAAAGGACTGAACATAATAACAGAGGCCAAGATCTGAGCGAGTGTGAGTGAGCGAGTGGCACGAGCGTATGCGTGCATGTTTGTAAGGGTATGATGTGGTGGTCATCAGGATATTCTTAGAACCTTGAGTAATGTAAATTTTAACAATACATCTTTTTATTTTCTGAACACAACAGCTGTCTCCTAACATGGCAGGGTGATCCAAAAAGATAGAAAAACCCAAAAAGAAAAAAAATTTCATCATCATTCAACACTTTCACCACCACTCATAATCACTCTTTTTGCAGAGGCACCCAGATACGACAGTTCAGGTGTCCCTTCAAACTGTAAATATCCCAAACCCCTCCTTTAAAGTCCAGGCACTGTACTTCCCATATCTAGGACTCAAGTCTGGCTAACCGGTTTCCCTGAATCCCTTCACAAAACATTACCGTGCTCACACTCCAACAGCTCGTCAGGTCCCAAAAACCATTCGTCTCCATTCACTCATATCTAACATGCTCACACATGCTTGCTGGAAGCCCAAGCCCCTTGCTCACAAAACCTTTACTCCCTGCCTCCAACCTCTTCGGGGCTGACCCCTACCCTGCCTTCCTTTCCCTACAGATTTATACGTTCTCCAAGTAATTCTACTTTGTTTCAATCTCTCTAAATGACAAAATCATCTCAACAGCCCCTCTTCAGCCCTCTGACTAATACTTTTAGTAGCTCCGCACCTCCTCCTAATTTGCACACTATGAATTCTCTGCAAAATATTTACACTACACATTGCCCATAGACAGGAAATTTCCACTGCCTCCAGCCACCTCCTCACTGCGGCATTTACAATCCATGCTTGACACCCATATAAGTGTGTTGGTACCACTATACTCTTGTACATTCCCTTCTTTGCTTCCATGAATAACTATTTTTGTCTCCACAGATACCTCAACGCACCACTCACCTTTTTTTCCTTCATCAATTCTACGGTTACCCTCATCCTTCATAAACTCATCCGCTGACAAGTCAACTCCAAAATACAGTGGACCCCTGCCATTCGGCGGCCGCGACTTTAATGAAATCCGCCTTTCGGCAAGTTTTTTGGCAAAATTTAGCTTTGTGGTTCGTGATTGGACTCGTGATTCGGCGACCTTCTGGTACCCGTCTGCCCGTCAGCCCGCACACAAAGCCAGCCTCCTGTACTATTCACACTCAGTGTGCCATTGTTTACCAGCATGTGACCATCATCCCACGGGTTCATACAACACATTTCATAATAATACATTGTTTTTTGTGCTTGCAACTGCTAAATAAGCCACCATGGGCCCAAAGAAAGCTCCTAGTGCCAGCCCTTTGGTAAAGGCGAGAAACACGATAGAATTCAAGAAAAAACTCATAGCAAAGTACTAAAGTAGAGGAGGAAGAGAGAGGGGAGAATGTGCCTTCTGCAGTGATTCAGTGATTCTACAAAATGTATGATACTAAAGTAGCAGGTATTGATAAAGGCTATAACTCCAGCCAGTGATAAAGTGTAGAATTAACAGTGTAGCAAGTAAGTTAAGCGAGTCACTATCAACCCCAATAGTGAAACTTGGGATGAAGTTATACCAGACGTTCAATGTGCCATAAATTCTGCTTACAATGCTTCCATAGGTGATACTCCACATTATGCATTGTATGGTGTAGACAAGCATTTACCCTATGAGTTGTTATATTCCACTCTGAAACCCAATTACAACCCTGATGATTTCGTAGCAACTCGTACAAGCATGGCTCAGAGTGTTTTTAGAAGAATCCGTGAAACACTTCATAAATCAACAGCAGAATTTACTAGAGTAACTAATAGCCGTGCTAAACCATCAAAAGTTAGAGTAGGTTCAAGAGTAATAGTGACAAATTTCAACAAAACATCCGAAATGCCTAAGCTCGATCAAAAGTTTGTTGACCTTTATCGAGTTGTAGAACATATCACAGGCAATAAGTATAAGGTTAGAGAAATTAGTATTGATAAGTACAAAGAATCACATTTAGATCATATGAAATTAGTATGCGATGTTGATGATATTGCTATCCAGACTGATGTGACAGATGCTGAAAATCCTCTTGACTCTGTACCCTCTACCTCAAATACTCAGTCAGATATTCAACCTGAATGTCGTTACTCCTTGCGTACTCGACAATTAATGAGAAACCCACAAGTATCTTTTGTAGATACTCGTTCAGATCTCCCTCAGTCAAGGCATGTGTTAGCCATTGCAGAGGAATTTGATCCTCCCAGAGATGATAACCATTCTGCATATGTAAACCTCACCCTCGCAGAATTGGGTTTAAATGTACACAGCCTGTATAATTAGATGTCTGAGATGAAGGAAATTGTCAACTGTGTGCTTTGTTATTAACTCATCAGTTTTTTCAGAATTTTTTTTTTTTCGTGTTCACGTTCCCTCCGTATTCTGAGAATTTGACAGTAATGATCTGTGTGCACCAGATTTGCTTTGCTGTTAATTTCACCTTGTATATATATATATTTATTCTTCCTCAGAATCCGTAGAGTGCATGAATACAGTTCGATCGATCAATTCCATCCATATTGTACAATGATTTGTTCTTATAAGTCGTAATGCATTACGTTAAAACTCATAAGGTTAACACCCATTACGTAAAACTCATTATGTTAACATCCATTATGATACCATCCATTAGTTCTAAGTTATATATGAATTTGTTATTGTATAGAATCAGCCCAGAACCACCTGCCTGTTCAGCCTATAGTATAGTAGTGTATGTCGAGACGACATACGTAACATGACCGAGCTGTCAGCATAGTTGCTGATCCCCTTATATGTGTTATATAGATTAGCTGAGTATCATAGTACCATCCATGTGTTTATATAGAAGATCCCTTAGGCCTGTGACTGTATGACGTCACGGGCTACAGCTTGAGGCAGTGAGACGAGCTGCCTCGCTCTCACTCGGCGCTTAGACATCCAGGCAGTGACACGGCAGGCTGGGCCCATCCATTCCTTACCACAGTCTGACAATATATATCGTTACCATCCAACAAGTGAGTTTACCTTATCCATCATATCTCCTTAACCCTTTGACTGTCGCAACCCAGAATCCAGAGGTGTCTCCTGGTGTAGCAAAATTTAAAAAAAAAAATAAAAAAAATTTTCTTATGAAATGATAGAGAATCTTTTCCTGATTGCAATGACACCAAAAAAACGAAATTTGATGGAAAACTGGCGGAATTATGCTCTCACGAAGTTAGCGACCTTGGCGCTGTTTACAAATCGGCGATTTCGCCCACTTTGAGTCCTATTTTCGGCTAATTCCATTGTTCCAGTCGCCCAAACTCATAGCTATTTCTTTAGAACTCCATTTTTTTTTATCGATTGAGTACAAGAAACTGCCCATTTACCGATTTCAACTACCTAATAATGTGGTCAGAAATTTGCAATTTGGCCAATTTCACGAAAACTAAAAAATATGACAATTTCAAAATAAGGTCCAGAATGAACAATGCAGACATTCCTGGCTCTAAAATAACAGTTTCTTTGCTCATCAGTCATGTCTCCAGGCCCCTCTGATATTACTCTTGCTTTCTATTTTGAATTTTTATTCAAACAAAAAATAGAAGACTTACTATTATGCAGACTACTGCAATACTGTAATAATTGTATAAATAACATCAACACATTCATGACTGCATATTAGAATGGCTAGTTGGGCATTTATTGGACAATGGCATTTGTTTACTTTTGAACATTGGCAAAAATCCAACATTTCCCCTACTTTGAGCTCCATTTCTAGATTCTTTTTATAGTAAAATCAATCAAAATCACCTCTATTTCTATAATATGTTTTCCATTCTATCAAATGAGATCAAGAAAACGAGAATACAACCATAAATACTATACAAAAATAGATCACAAAGTCGGCATTTTAATTAAAAAAAAACGGTCGGAGTTTTTTTTTCTCATTATGCACTGCGTGCTCCAGGATTTTTTTTATATGGTGCACACTGACCACACAGACCCATTCTCTCACATGTGGGCCTACCAGCTTTTTCCTGCTTGATTTGAAGCCGCTAGAATTTCTGAGTATATATACGTCAAACACGGTACCTCGTAAGACGTATATATATGTACAGCCACGACAGTCAAAGGGTTAAGAACCCCTACGACAAACTAATTAAACTACATCTCCTCCAAGGTAAGTGTAAATATAAAAGTGTAAGTATAAAAGTAAATATAAAAGGACACCAATGGAAATATGTCACTCTTGAATTTGTTGGGTTATCCTGGGTACTTTACACATGTGCTGCTATGTATGATAATCTATGTATGTAACTGTATTTGTGTGTACCTGAATAAACTTACTTATTTATAAATTAAAATGTAAATATTTCTTATTTATAAATTACATACATTGTTTAAATGTGATGGTGGTGGTGGCCAAAGCCTCCACCGCCACCAACACGGCTTCTCTCAGTGGCAGCCCTTAAACCTAACAACAACACTTACACCATTTACTCCTCTCATACATTATGACATATTTTATTCATTCTAGAGTATGCATCATGTTTCCATGTTATTAATATTGTTTATAATGTCATATTAGATGAATTGTGATAGATAAATAAGCCGTAGAGATATTAGCATCATATTGAAGCATAATAAAGTTGCCTTCCTCTTGCCTCCTACCTATCTCCAACACAAACAAGAATCAATAAAGGTTAAGTGTGATGTTAAATGTTCATTTATCTATTTTATTAGTGCTTTATATTTATTTGTCATTGTTTTCTGTATGTAAATCTATATTTAATCTTTAAAAAATTATTTTTTAATACTTTTGGCTGTCTGAAACGGATTAATTGGGTTTCCATTATTTCTTATGGGGAAAATAGATTCGCCAA